AATCAGAAACGGGGTCTACAAGGTTAGTGAGTCTCGCTCATTTTGTCAACACCACCTACTGGTTACTGTATATTGCAGCGTTCAGATGTGTTACGTTAAATTTGGGGGACGCGCACAATTTCAAGTTGACTTCAGATCAACTTCAAATCAATGCAAGTAACGCATGGCAGCCATTTTAAACGTGCATACGCATCATTAAACAGCAAATATATTCCAGCCCTTAGACCCCATTGGTGCTGCCTGCAGTTCCACTTTTTGACGATAGGGGGAGACAATACGTTTACTGATGAAGGCCGTCACTGAGCCGTCCTCCTCCACAGCTATAATGAGGACAACTGAGAATGAATCACCAAAAACATAAAATGTTTAAATAGATGAAAAACAGAATAAAATGATAGACACTAATCTAACTAATAAAGTCATTTATATTATTTATTGGGAGGAACTATATTTTGAGGTGAATGATTTCTTTAGCAGGGCGCTGCCTCACCTGCCCTGATGAACCAACCACACCTGAACAGAATCTTGATGATGTGACGACACCTGAAAGTAGAAATGAAGAAGCAGACTGGATGTGTCCTCCTCCTCCTGCCTGATTCAATAAAGATGAAATGAAATGAAAAGAATGAGTGTAAACTGAGCGGGAAGGTGACGACCACAGGACAGGACTTTAGAGATGCTCCATTCAAATATTGGACTGTTCCTTTCTCAGTGTAGAACAATGTGTGTGAGAACCATGTCATGTCCATGTTTACATGCTGAAAGAGACTGATGCCTGACCCCCTCCTCCTTTCAGGGTGGAGCCTGCTGGAGTCCGATGGTTGACACCAGGTCTGAGGAAGTGTAAGTGTGTTTGGATTTGATTCATGACAACCATCTTCACACTGTCACCTCACTCATTCATGAGTCATCATCAAAGTGTCAATAAATGATCAATAACTGCAGCTGGATTGTGTTTGTTCTCTCCATCAGATTCCTGTCAGCTCTCCATCGACACAAACACAGTAAACAGAAACCTCAGACTGTCTGACAACAACAGGAAGGTGACATGTGTGGAGGAGGTTCAGTCATATTCTGATCATCCAGACAGGTTTGATTACTGGTCTCAGCTGCTGTGTGGACCTGGTCTGACTGGTCGCTGTTACTGGGAGGTCGAGTGGAGAGGAGGAGTTTCTATATCAGTGAGTTACAGAAGAACCAGGAATAAAGGAGTCAGTACAGACTGTTGGTTTGGAGGGAATGATCAGTCCTGGAGTCTGGACTGCTCTGAAGTTGATGGTTACTCTGTCTGGTACAATAAAAGAGAAACACCCATCTCCTCCTCCTCTGTCTCTAACAGAGCAGCAGTCTATGTGGACTGTCCTGCTGGCATTCTGTCCTTCTACAGAGTCTCCGACGACTCACTGATCCACCTCCACACCTTCAACACCACATTCACTGAACCTCTTTATCCTGGATTTGGGTTCTGGTCTACTTCAAGTTCTGTGTTACTGTGTACAGCTTGATGTGACGAGTGTCCTCCTGTCAGAGAAGCACTCTCACTTAGTGCGTTTACACGCACATCAGAAAACTGAAGTATTACCCTAAAAAAGACTCACTTCAGTTTTTTTATTGCATGTAAACGCATTAGTCTGGCTGATGGTGAACTGGTTCTAATCAAGCTGAAGCACCCAGATAAGGAGGAAGCAGATAAGAGGAAGTAGGACACTCCCATTCCGGAAGTGACGAGATCGCGGAAGCAGCTTCTCTATCAAGACCATCGTCACAAAGCAACACGTCTAACACCATAAAACAGGACAGTGCGTACCAAATAAATGGTCTGGATTTGTATAGAGCCTTCTTAGGGTTCTACAACCCCCCCAAGGAGCTTCACAACACAACCGGTCGTTCACCCATTCACACTCTGGTCGGGATGAGCTGCGTTGTAGCCACAGCTGCCCTAGGGCGCACTGACAGAGGTGAGGCTGCAGAGCACTGGCACCACCGGTCCCTCTGACCACCTCCAGCAGGCAAGGGGGGTTAAGTGTCTTGCCCAAGGACACAAAAGAAGCATTCTCTGGTCGGAGCTGTGCTGCAGCATTGTTGTTGTGTATTCCTTCAGCCATTGTGCATATCCTGTTTCAATTCTATCTGCTTCACTCTCACCAGCCTCTGTTTACTGCTCGTGATGCTAAAAGCTAACCGGAAGAATGCCGGCATGAAAAAGGGACCTGAAACCTGAAAATTAGTTGAACACCTATGAAAATTCAAAGGGTATTACTGATGTCATTAAGTGTTCCAACAGGAAGTGACATCACTAAAGCCATTTGGCCTCAACAGTCTGCTTAGAAACATCCTGGACCTTCTGCTCATGTTGTTTATTAATGCTGTCAATCAGAAGCAGAAAAAAAGTCTCTGGAAAATATTTTAATATTAGATCAGAATAAAATAAAAATAGAATTATGTTTAGAGTTTTTATTCATTTGTTGCTTTTTGTATTTTTGCAATTTAAAAAAGTTGAATAAATGATTGAATCCATCTTCTGTAAATATCTTATCTACAATTCGCCCAATCTCCAGAGTTGACTACGGCAAGCTCTATGGCTCAAAAATGCAGCGTATGTGTCTGAGGGGAGAACTGTTTTCCCTCAGGTCAAATATCAAATGACTGAGACGTCACCTGATGCTCCTGAAACAATAAACACAAGTTGTAACTCAGGCTTTGCTGTCTTTACTGTCAGAAATGAGCTCAAGATCAACGGAGAACCTAAATGTGTTTTGGGGGCTTTGATGTTGTTGATGTTTGGATTTTGGGCTCTTTTTATGGTCAGATAAAGACTCAAATGGAGATTTCTCTTTTTCTCAGCCTTCATCAACCTTTCTGTCATCTGCTCCATCCCATGTTTTGGTCTGATTGTGTCTTTACGTAGAAATAAAAGAGAAAAGAGTAAAACACAACAGGCTGTTAAGAGACACCAGAATGAAGACAAACCTGTGCTAATGAGATCATTTCATCAGAGCAGAATGACAAACACAGCCTCAACAACTGCTTTGATCTATGAATGAATGCCGTTTAGTGAGAGGACACCTCAGGAACCTTCTAGAAGCTCCTGAGAGAAGATGACATAGAAGTTGTTGCCTTTTGTCTTAAACATGTAAGAAGCTTTAAAAAGGCAGAATTTCTGCTTTGTTCCAGTTTTTTCTCTGATCAGGTCTTTATTTTGGACCACATGGGTCTGATTTTCTCTCCTGTCCTTCTAGAAATCTGATCTGGATTCTTTCTGTAACTCAGACTTTACTGAAGCGATTGTCCTGTTGGATTCTGGGTTAGACGACTGCAGCGCTCTAGACTCTGCTTTAAATCAGTCAGATCTCCATCACCTGTAGATGACCCAGAATGCAGCAGCTCACCTGTAGACAGGTAGGAGACGGCGCCACCACATCACTCCTGTATGGCCTCTTTACACTGGCTTCCTGTTAGTTTCATCATTCAGTTCAGATTTTAAGACTCTTCAAGGAAATGAAATGTGTCTGATTAGCTGCAGCATCATGATCCAGTCAGAGCGCTGAGGTCAGCATCTCAGCTGCTTCTGGATGTCCCCACCATCAAATGAAACACAACAGCTGATGGAGCCTTTTCAGTAATCGTCTCTAAATTATGGGATGTTCTGCCTTTCCAGACCAGAGCAGAACCACTTTATGATTCATCAAACAAGCCAGAGGTGAAGAAACTAAAGCAGGTAAACATCTCAGCAGCTCTGCAGTCACAAGTTTAACTTTGATAAACCGTCCCAGTTTCCTAAAAGCTGTTCACACAACACCTCCACGCTGCTCCTGGTGTGCTTTTGTTGGTGTTCTGTGTGAAAGGCCAGAGGTGGAATGGGCTCTCCAAGCTGATCCTCCACTAATCCACCTGAGAGCCAACAGAGGTAGTCACAGAGCTGAGTAGGTGAGTGTGCAGTGGGAGACAGCAGGTGTAGTGTTGTAGGATTTTATTAGAGACTTATCACACTATGAGAAAACAGTCCTGGATTCAAGCTTTTAATTCTGACGACAATAAGAAGAAACAAAGCAGGAAGCATAAAGATCATTGCTAAGATCTAGAACCGACACTTAGTAGCAAAGTCAACGTTAATCTAAGTGAAACGATGACGTTTCATGAAACTAAACTAAAGAATAATATAAAAGTCAAATAAAAATAAGTGAAACAAACATTGTAAGATATCTCCAACAAGCTGTAACAGTTGCTTTACCTAAAAGGACAACAGAACCCACTCAGAACACCTGAATGATGGATTACACCAGTGGTCTCTAACCTTTTATGGCCCGTGAGCTACTTTTACACAATATAAGAACCGAACAGCTACTGCCATACGATTCATTCACATTAATATTTTCCATGTGTGAATATGCTTCTGTTAAAAATGCTATACTCACTATATTAACATGCATTGTATTCACAAGTAGATTTTTCTATACAATATTATAAAATAATTACAAGGAAAATAGTGACATCCTGAAAATCAAACAAAGCTTTTTATTTATTACCTTTTCAGATACTTTCAGACAATGAATAACTAATCTACTTCATGTGAATTATTTCACCTTTGGTTTTTTAGAACGGATCAGTAACAGAACTTTTTGAGCGCACAGGAAAAGCTAACCTGTTCCTGTTCAGTCGCTGACCCTGAGCCCTGCCCAGAACCTAAGCAGCCATGTCAGTTTTTCATAGTTTTTTTTCATAAATGAACAAATACTTACAGAAATTATCAAATGCCTTTTAAATAGCATTTTATGTTATTTAAAAGGCATTTATTACAACATTTTTCAAGTAATTGTTTTGTTATGATTATTTTTTCCAAACAATGCAAAACTAATTGTCTCATAAAATGAATGAAGCTGAAGTTTTTTTAAAATAAAATACAAGCTAAATGTGATGAAAACACAAATTAAATAGTTTGAACTGGAGTGAAAAATGTAAAAAAGTAAAGAAAAAAGAAATCATTTCTTCCTGCATTCCTGATTTATTGAATAATTTTTATAGATTTTTTTGCTCATGAAAGTTAAGTTTTGCTTCACTGTTGAATAACTGCAGGTAAATTATGCTTAGCTGCATTTAATGCTGACAATATTAAGGTTGGAGATTTTGTTAAAGGTGTAGTTTGTTTTTTCTCCCCACGGGTCTGTTGGCTGTGCACACAGAGCAGAGCAGAGCAGAGTGAGAGCGAGAGAGAGAGAGCGAGAGAGAGAGAGAGAGGCCCCAACCCCAGGCCTGGCTCCAGGGTGGGACCCCAGTAACCCTCCGGGCCGGGTACTCCAACTCTTGAATTTACATCCATGAAAGATCCTTTGAACCGTTCTTTGTCTCACCCTTCACCTAAGGCCAATTTGTCATGGGAGACCCTACCAGGGGCACAAAGTGCCCCAGACAACATAGCTCCTAGGATCATTAGGACACTCAAACTCCTCCACCACGATAAGGTGACGGTTCAAGGAGGCCAACATTTCTAATTATCCTTTTTTTGAATTGGTCTGAATTAGGCCCGAGAGCAAAAGCGCTACGAAGGCCTCTTGTTTTTCCTCCGTTTATTATTTATTATTCCGTGCCCCCTTTGAATGGCTTTTTGGGGACCTCATCATACCAATATTTGGCAAACTTGTCAGGCCTGGTGAAAATTTTGATATTTTAAAGGTGCCAAAAAAAATCACAAAGAAAATGGCTGAGCAGCACCCCCTACAATGTGAAAAATACCCCCCTCAATAAACCTTGTTTATCGCACAGTTATGAAATTTTGTACACTTGTAGTACTCAACAGTCAGCACAGAAAAGCCTCTTGCAACCATGGTCAGGCGTACCTCCCATTTCGTCATTTCTAAAGATGTCGCCACGAAACTTCTGGTGGGTGATCATAGTCCAGCCCCCCAAAAAATCTGATGTGAAAATCTGGTGGGCGTGGCCTATGTTCTGGAATAGCGCCCCTTAGGAACATTAAAACTGTCAGCCCCAAGCCATGCTTTGACTGAGGATTACGAAATTTGGTACACTAATGTAGTGTCTCAGGACTTACAAAAAACTCTATTGAAGCCAAGGAGCATGGCCATTTTGGTCGAAGTACTCGATTTAGTGGTTTTCGCACACGTTGTTTGGAGAATGATGCCCCGTCGCCCTTTTCACCAATCACCTTCAAACTTCTGCTATATACTCTTAAGACATAGGGGGAAAATTCAATCATCGGATTTTAAATGAGTTGAAAGGTGTGGGCGTGGCTAAGCCTCAAACTTTGACCTTTTGCCATGCCACTCTTTATTTTCACAGCTCCCTATTGGACTCCTTTCACCTAATCACCAGCAATCTCTGGCAAATAGCAGTAGACAAGTTGCGGTCACTTGGTGTCCAGTGCTGGCAGGTTTAAAAAAAAGGCGGGGTTTTGGGGGCATGGCGAAGTTCGCCATCACGCCATGGAAATATGATTGCCTCTCATTTCCTCAGTTACCGTGACATCGCCATGAAATTTCTGGTGAGTGATCCTAGTCTGACCCCCAATAGAACTGGATGGGAGAAATTGGTGGGCAAGGCCTATTTTCTGAAATTGCGCCCCCTAGAACCATTAAAACTGTCAGCTCCACGCGATGCTTTCTTCGACGATTACGAAAATTGGTACACTAATGTAGTGTCTCAGGTCCTACACAAAAGTTTGTTGGAGCTAAGCTCAATATCGCACAGGAAGTCGGCCATTTTGGTCCAAGTACTCGATTTAGTGGTTCTCGCACACATAGAGGAAAAAATTCAACTGTCGGATTTTTCAAAAGTTTAACGGCGTGGGCATGGCTAAGCCTCAAACATTGGCCTTTCGCCATTACAATCTTTGACGTAATAACTCCCATGCACATGTTCAGATCTATATCATGGACTCTATGGACTCTCATGTGTCTGGGTTTTATGTGAAATGCCCATATTTGCCCATATAACTTGTAAGTCGCTTTGGACAAAAGCCTCTGCTAAATACATAAACATATTTGTCCCCTCTAATTTAGTCAACATGACACTAAGGTTGTGCACTGTCTTCATTATGCTGTAATGACCATTCAGTTCTGATAGCTTTCCAGAAAGGGAGGGGCGTTGATTCCATGGCGAATTCTGGTGTGACGCTGTGACCTTACGTTTGACTGTAACTTCCACAATTAGCCTCTGATCTGCACGAGACCGAACATGGCAATAAACAATCCTGCCCTTTAGCCAATGAGGCACAAACGGTTGGTGAACATTGTCTAATATCACCACAGCGCCCCCTACATACCTTTACAACTGTAATAACTCCTACAGACAAGGTCGCTACTGCACCAAACTTGCTACGTGTCATAACACAAAGGCACCCAACACAATCCTGTGGTAATTGGTTGATATCGCTTTAGCTCTGCCCCCTGACAGATATTAGGCCCTGAATAACACATGCATAATGCAATTCACACCAAACTACACGCAAATGATCATTGTCAACCTACAACCTGCTCCATGGGATATTTTCCAAAATTTGGGACAGCGCCCCCTAGATAAAATAAAACCTTTGTAACTTCTACAAGAAAGCTCCAAACTACATCAAACATGGTGGGAGTAATCACGCAACTGCATGTGCTCACTCGTTCAAATCACTTTAACTCCGCCCACTTACAGCCTTTTGGCTCTAGATGGCCCATGCAATGTTTGATTGATGCCAAATTAACAGAAAACCATCTTTGATGACAAAAGATGACCTTTATGGGATTTAGTTGTAAATGGTCACAGCGCCCCCTAGATATGTTCAAACTTTATTAGCTTCTAAAGACAAGGTCAGAATGGCATTATACTTGGCTTGTGTCATCACTAGGGATGGGTACCGAATTCGGTACTTTTTAAGGTACCGACCGAATTCCATAGTACCGACCGAGCACCGATTCACGTCATTTCAAACGGTGCCTCGTTTCGGTACCCGTCCATCATAACGAGAACTTGCCAAGACAGCTGCGCATGCGTAAGAGCGTTTTGTTGTCGCTCGCTGTGAACCAGTTGTAAACAGAGCAGCACGGGTAAAAAGAACGCAGGCTAAAGCTTGGGTCCACTTCACTAAATGTGATGGGTAACTGGGTGATGATGAAACCAGCGACAACGATCTAAGTGAGACATCCTCATCTTAATCTGCTCCGGTAGGTAAATATAATTAGCTTGATATGTTAGCTTCTGTTTCGCTAATGGTGCGTTTGCTTTCTCCTCGGAACTCCGATTTCCCGACTAGAAGAACTTGAACGCGCTCTAAAGTTTGGCTTCACTTTACTAAATGTGATGGGTGAAGACTAAACCAGTGATAACGAACTAAGTGTGAGGCATCATCGTTTTAATCTGCTCCAATAGCTAAATAAACTAAGATAACGTTAGCTTGATATCTTAGCTTCCATTGCTACCATTGTTATCAGCTAATGGTGCGTTCGCTTTCTCCTCGGAAATTCTAACTTCCCAGTAGGAAAAAGCAAATGAAAAAAGATGGCAAAAGGAATGAAGATACACAGTAAATTTAGTTCACAGCAAAGATGTTTGCTTCAGTTTAATTATCAGCTTATAAAACTACAAGGACGATGTTAAAATACAAACAGTTGTATGTTATTTATCGTGATATTTATCAAAAATTGTTATATATTGAGAAAAATATATATTTAATTATAAAAGAGAATTAAAATAATAAACAGTCAAAAGTATCGAAAATTGGTACCGTTAAGTACCGGTATCGAATTCGTAGGTACCGGGAATTAGTACCGGATCGATTCAAATGTCAAAGGTACCCATCCCTAGTCATCACGTGACTGCACCAAACACAATGATGTGGTTGTTGGTTCAAACCCCTTTAGCTCCACCCCCTTTCGGCTCTCTGGCTCTAGATAACACACACAACGTCTGATTGATGCCAAAATAACAGAAAACCATATCTTTCAACCAAAGCTGACCTCAAGGGGATTTTTCTGTAGTTGGTCACAGCGCCCCCTAGATAACTTTAACCTTCTATAACTTCAAAAAATGTGGTCAGAATAGCATTAAACTTGGTTTGTGTGATCACACCGCCAGTGTGGTAAAGATAGAGTATCTCCTAGTGGTGAGATGTGTAATTTAATGGTGGGCTCAGATGATATGCTGATTCAGGGTGAGGTGCGGACGAGGTGGCCTTTCGCGGTGTCTGGGGTCCATGGTCAACGTTTATGTTCCGCGGACGTGCCCGGGTGCCCCGGGCTGCCGGCCAGGCCGGAGCAGCGCGGAGCTGCGAAGGCCGAACAACGCTGCTTGCAGCTTTAATTGTTATTCTAATTTTCTGAGTTACTTAATTTTGGACTTTCACTGGTTATCAGTTATAATCCCATGTGATCTATTTTCAACAGTATGCCAGTTGTTGTAACCGGAGGCTGAACAGAAACGGGAATAGTTGCTCACTCTGCATTGAGTTTGGAGAGTGAGGAGACCCATCCAATATGGCGGAGACGCTGTTACGCTCTCCAGCACCCAATGGGGCATCTATGTATTCGTGTCTATGGTGCAGAGCTTTAACCTAAAGAGGGCCCTACACCGGAAGTTTCAAGCTGAATCTTTCAATTTTAAAAAAGATGCACGAAAATGCAAATATAATGACCTCACTTGACTACAGCGTTTTTAGTCACTCGTTTATTCCATTTCTCAGTAAAAAAAAAAGTTTATTTGGGGTGAATTGCACTTTAAATACATGTGTTGTGTCCTTTGTAGACTCTCCTGTGACTGTTTAAATTTTTCTTATATCTAAATCTTTGTCCACATGGCTCACAGAAAAATGGTTTCTCTCTTGTGTGAACTCTCATATGTCTGTTTAATGTTGATTTATGTCTAAATCTTTGTTCACATACCTCACAGGCAAAGGGTTTCTCTCCTGTGTGGACTCTCATGTGAGTGTTTAAATTTGTCCTTTGATTAAAGCTTTTTTCACAGAGTTCACACGCAAAGGGTTTCTCTCCTTTGTGGACTCTCATGTGACTGTGTAAACTTTTCTTAAATCTAAATATTTGTCCACATGGCTCACATGCAAAGGGTTTGTTTCCTGTATGGACTCTCATGTGTCTGTTTAATGTTGATTTATGCCTAAATCTTTGTTTACAGAGTTCACATGCAAAGGGTTTATCTCCTGTATGGATTGTCATGTGTCTGTTTAATGTGTATTTATGCCTAAATCTTTGTTCACAGAGCTCACATGCAAAGGGTTTCTGTCCTGTGTGGACTCTCATGTGTCTGTTTAAATGTGTCTTTTGATTAAAGCTTTTTCCACAGAGCTCACATGCAAAGGGTTTACTTCCTGTATGGATTCTCATGTGACTGTTTAATGTGTATTTATGCCTAAATCTTTGTTTACAGACCTCACATGCAAAGGGTTTCTGTCCTGTGTGGACTCTCATGTGTCTGTTTAAATGTGTCTTTTGATTAAAGCTTTTTCCACAGAGTTCACACGTAAAAGGTTTCTGTGCTGTGTGGCCTCTCATGTGTCTGTTTAAATTTGTCCTTCGAGTAAAACTTTTTCCACAGAGTTCACAAGCAAATGGGTTCTCTCCTGTGTGGGCTCTTATGTGTCTGTTTAAACCTTTATTATGAATAAATATTATTCCACAAATGTCACAACTGATTGATTTTGGTTCTTTCTGGACTTTCCTGCATGGGTCCACATGTTGCTTTATTCTAATGTTTTTCTTAGTAACCAGACATTCTGAAGATTTTATTGCTGAATGACTCGTCACTCTCGCATGTCTCTGGAGAGACCACTTGTGGAGAAACTTTTTACCACACCCAGGGCAGCTAAAGAATTCGTCGACACTCTTAACATCTGACTCACAAAACCTGCTCTCATTGCAGTCATTGTCTCCATCTCCAGTTTCAGGCCCAGAGTCTAATAACTCAATGTTTAGATTCATATCATCTTCACTAACTTCAGTCTCTGAAGAATCAGATATCTGGTCATTAGGGTTAAGAAATGGGTTGCTGCTAGATTCTGCTCCTCTACCAGTTTCTGCTGTTGTCTGGTCAGCTGAGCTGCTGGTTGGAACGTCTCTGTCTTCTATTTGCTGCTGATAGAGAAGCTGTGAGAGCAGAGGTTTGTCTTCATCATCCTCACTTTTTATAGAAACTGATGTGAATGGAAACCTGGCAGAATTAGCTTCTTCCTTCAAATGGAGCTGCTCTCCTTCCAGACTTGTCCAGATGTCCTCCTGTTCTTCTTTCATGTGGAACTGTTCTGGATCCTGCTGGTCCACACCAGCACTCTGATCTTCAAGAGCTTCTTCTTTAACCATCTGGTGAAAATCTGTGGGAAACAGGAACTAACTGAAATAACTTTTGAATTGAGTGACTTTTTCATCTGAGGTGAATATATTAACATTTTTAAAGAATGTAGGATTACTAGAATTAATCAGATTTTTTAACACTTTGACAACCTCAACCTTTGGTAAAAGGCCTATATTTATATTATGCCTTCTAGGTTCTACAAACCCCCCACCCCCATATTCACATGTTGATTTTAAAGAGTTGTTACACACAGAACGTTATATAAATTGATAAAACTCCTTATTTGGGATATTCTGCACTCAAAGTAAATTTCCATGTCAACAGAATGCCATTGTTCTCTGAGGTAAGAAGAAGAAGAAAATATCATTTCTATAGCGCCTCAAGATAAAAATCATGAGGCGCTTCACAAAAACAAAAAAATGTAAAAATATAAAAAATGCATTTAGAAAATGTTTAAAAATATATTTAAAATGAGCAAAAATAGACAATTGTGATTAAAAAAATGTTAAGAAAGAGAGAGAGTGAACAGGAAAGAGGGAAATCAGTAGATCCTGAGGAAGGTGGAATAGGTGGGGAGAGCAGAATAAAAAGAGTGGTGAAGAAGGTCATACAAAAGCCAGCTTGAACAAGTGAGTCTTCAGCTGCTTTTTAAAGGAGACCACTGAGTCCACTGATCTCAGGCTCAGGAGGAGAGAGTTCCAGAGTCTGGGGGCCACAGCAGCAAATGATCTGTCACCTTTGGTCTTTAGCCTGGTGCTGCACAACCAGTAGGCTTTGATCACTGGACCTCAGGGACCTGCTGGGGGTGTAGGGACTAAGAAGATCACCAATATAAGATGGTGCTTGTCCATGTAAGGCCCTATAGACCAGAACCAGGATCTTGAAATAAACCCTGAAGTTGATTGGCAGCCAGTGAAGCTGGAGGAGAAGCGGGGTGATGTGGGTGTGTTTGGAGGACTTGGTCAGAAGCCGAGCACAGGCATTCTGAACCACCTGTAGACGGTTCAGGGAGGTTCTGCTCAGTCACGTGAAAAGAGAGTTACAGTAGTCTAAGCGTGGGGAGATGAAGGAGTAGACAACTGTCTCAAGTTGAGAGTGGGACAGAATGGGACTCAGCTTAGCAATGTTCCTGAGATGGAAGAAGGAAAAGCAAACAAGAGAACTGCCGTGAGAATCCAGGGTGAGATCTGGGTCAAAGGTCACGCCAAGATTCCTGACAGAATGTTTGGTGTGAGAAGCAAGCTGACCAAGAGAGTCTCTGACTTTGGGAACCAGCTTGTCTGGGGCACAGATGAGGATCTCAGTCTTATCTTCATTCAGCTGAAGAAAGCTCCCAGCCATCCAGGTTTTGACAGAGTCTAAGCAGGTGTGTAACAGCTGCAGCTTAGACATCTCATGGGGCTTAAAGGAGATGTACAGCTGGATGTCATCTGCATAAAGATAATAGGAGATTCCTTTGAAGGAGCTCAGGATGTGCTGAAGAGGAAGCAGATAGAGGAGGAACAGCAGAGGCCCCAGCACAGAACCTTGTGGGACACCATGGGTAAGGGAGGTGGTAGAGGACCTAAACTTGGAGACGGCCACAGAAAAGGAGCGCTCAGAGAGATAAGAGAAGAACCACTCCAGAGCAGATCCGGATAGAGATACCCAGTCTCTCAGCCTCTCCAGTAGCAGGTGATGGTCAACAGTGTCAAAGGCTGCAGTCAGGTCCAACAGGACCAGAACAGAACAGTCCCCTGCATCACTGTGAGTCAGAAGGTCATTAGAGACCCTAAGAAGAGCTGTTTCAGTAGAATGAGCTCTACGAAAACCTGACTGGAAGCTATCATAGATGTTATGTTCATCAAGAGCAGCTGTGAGTTGTTTAGCCACAACCTTTTCCAAGATGTTGGAGATGGAGATGAACGGAAGTTTAGAGATGGGTCTGAAGCTGCTATGGAGAGAGGGGTCGAGACTCGGTTTTTTAAGAAGCGGGTGGATTACAGCGTTCTTAAAGTAAGCAGGGACCTGAGCAGAGAAGCATTAATTATAGAGAGCACGCTGGGACCGATGGACTGAAAAGCACTTTTAAACAAAGATGAGGGTAAGATGTCGAGGGGGCATGCAGAGGTCTTCATAGAGTTAACTAGTTTGGTTAACTCTGGTAAAGAAACAGGAGCAAAGCTATCTAGGATGATGGGCCTGGTTGGAGTCGGGAGAGGCAGCGATAAGGCTGAAGGAGAGATGCTAGATCTAACCTTATTGACTTTGTCCACAAAGAAAGACAGAAAGTTCTCACAGTCTGCAACAGAGTGGATGGAGGCTGTAGGAGAGGCAGGAGAGACGATGCTGCTGATGGTGTTAAACAGCACCTTGGTGTTCCCTTTGCTCTGGGACACCAGGTTGGAGAAATAGGAAACCCTTGCATCTCTGACTGCAGAGTTAAAGGATGTCAGAAGATCCTTTAGGTGCAGCAGATGGACGTGGAGATGGGTTTTCTTCCACAAACGCTCAATTTTTCTGCATTGGCGCTTCAGGCTGCGAAGGCTATCATTAAACCAGGGAGTAGAGTTCACTGCAGGAACTGATCTGGTTCTGACTGGACAGATATTGTCCAGAATGGAGAGGCAGTGCTCGTTAAACTGAGAAGTTAAGGAATCTGGGTCGTTATCAGAAGAACAAGGTGGATCAAAAGCAGCAGAAAAATTTCTAGCTTTGCTCTCATTAAGAAAACAAGAACTAACCATACGGCAAGCAGGAGGTGGGGACGCAGAAACTGACAAGTTAAAGAAAATGCAATGGTGATCTGAAACATAAACGTCCTCAGGACAAACACTGTCAGTATTTAGACTCAGGGTAAAAACAAGGTCCAGAGTGTGCCCCCTGGTGTGTGTGGGGCCAGAAACATGCTGGGTAAAGCTGAAGGAGTCCATCAGGTTGGAGAAATTCATGGCAAAGTGATCAGAGGGATCATCAACGTGGATGTTAAAGTCACCAACAATCACCAGTCTGGACAGCTTCACAGTGGAGGATAGAAAGGATAGAAAGTCGTTAAACTCCTGAAGGAAAGAACTGTTTGGACCAGGTGGACGATAAACCACAGCACAGTAGAACAGGTCCTTATGCCCGACTTTAATCAGCTGCAGTTCAAAGGAAGCAAAGTGACCAGAGGTTGTAGAGCAACATGGAAGATGGTCTCTGAAAACAACAGCTAGGCCTCCACCACTACCAGAACCCCGGGGCTGGCTAAGAAAAGAATAACCACTCGGGCAGAGTTCAATCAGACCAGAATAATCAGATGTTTGCTGCCAACCTTCAGTCAGAAACAGAAAATCCAGGTTTTTAGAGAGAATTAGATCATTCAGCAGGAAGGACTTACTGTTAACAGAGCGGGTATTTAATAGAGCCATGCTGAGTAAGGTGGAGGAATCAGAAACTACAGAAACAGCTGGAGTTAGTGGACGTAAATTAGCAGGGTTAGATCCATGGTGTAAGCTCATGTTATTGACAGTGATAACTTTATTAGAAATGCATGTGCTTGTCATAAAATAAGAATAAAATGACAAAGTTGGTTTACTTCAAATTTTTGTTTCTTTTAATGTTGATGATTATAACTGATAACTAATGCCATCCATCCATCCATCCATCCATTTTCATCCGCTTATCCGGAGTCGGGTCGTGGGGGCAGTAGCCTAAGGTGAGAGGCCCAGACTTCCCTCTCCCCAGCCACTTGGGCCAGCTCCTCCGGGGGAATCCCAAGGCATTACCTGGCCAGGTGAGTGACATAGTCCCTCCACCGTGTCCTGAGTCTATCTTTAAGTCTCCTCCCGGTTGGTTGTGCCCGGAAAACCTCACCAGGGAAGCATCCAGGAGCTAGATGCCCGAGCCACCTCAACTTGCTCCTCTCGATGTGGAGGAGCAGCGGGTCTACTCCGAGCCCCTCCCAGATGACCGAGCTTCTCACCCTATCTCTAAGGGAGAGCCCAGCCACTCTTCTGAGAAAACTTATTTAGGCCGCTTGTATCCGCAATCTCGTTCTTTTGGCCACTACCCAAAGCTCATGACCATAGATGAGGGTAGGAACGTAGATCGACCAGGTAAATCGAGAGCTTCGCATTCTGACTCCGCTCTCTCTTCACCACGACAGACCGGTACAACACCCACATCACCACAGATGCAGCACCAATCCGCCTATCGATCTCACTCTCCAGTTTTCCCTCACTCATGAACAAGGTCCTGAAATACTTAAACTCCTCCACTTGGGGCAGGACCTCATCCCTGACCCGGAGAAGGCATTCTACCCTTTTCCAAATCAAGACCATGGTCTCAGATTTAGAGGAGCTGATTGTCATCCCAGCTGCTTCACACTCGGCTGCGAACCGCTCCAGCGAAAGTTGAAGATCACGTTCTGATGAAAACAACAGGATCACATCATCTGCAAAAAGCAGAGACCTGATCCTCAGGCCACCAAAACGGATGCCCTCCACATCTTGGCTGTGCCTAGAAATCCTGTCCATAAAGGTTATGAACAGAATCGATGACAAAGGGCAGCCTTGGCGGAGTCCAACTTTCACTGGGAACGAGCCCGACTTACTGCTGGCAATGCGGGCCAAGCTCTGACACCGGTCATACAGGGACCTAACAGCCCGTATCAGAGGGCCTGGTACCACATACTCCCGGAGTACACCCCACAGGGCCCCCCGAGGGACGCAGTCAAATGCCTTCTCCAAATCCACAAAACACATGTAGACAGGTTGGGTAAATTCCCACACACCCTCCAGCAGGATCCCCTAAAGGTATAGAACTTGTCCAGTGTTCTATGGCCAGGACGAAAACCACATGCTCCTCCTGAATCTGAGGTTCAACAATCCGACGGACCCTCCTCTCCAGAACCCCTGAATTGACCTTACCAGGAAGGTTCAGGAGTGTGATCCCCCTGCAGTTGGAACATACCCTGCGGTACCCCTTTTTAAATAAGGGAACCACCACCCCAGTCTACCAATCCAGTGGGACTGCCCCCAATGTCCACGCGATATTGCA